CGCCCCCCCCCCCACACACACACACCTGGGGCGGTGGGGCTCGGGCAGACTCAGGCTTCGGTCCCCTCTCCTGGGGTCGCGTATTATTTTTTGTTGTCAGAAGGGGGTCGCAGTGCAATGAAGTTTGAGGACCCCTGAGAAAGGTCTGAATGAGTAGAGGGCAGAACAGAAGCAGGTGTATTTTTTTCCCGATGTAATTACCACAGTCTTTTAAGTGAGGTTCTTTCTTGCAGAGCAATTCTATTGCAATAGCAATGTGGGGTTCCAGCCTTATCTCAACTCTCCTGCGTACGTGTACCAGCAGAAAGAGAGGGTTTTGTGCAATTGCCAGCCTTGCCGACTCAGCCTGGAATCTGAAACTTAAGCTGTGTTCTTTCTGGCTTATGCGCCTCTAACCATGCAGATCTGGCAGTGGAATTCTGGTAACTAGTCTGTTGGTGATGCACGAGGTAGCTGAGTTCCCAGCTTGTTCCACCAGAGCCGTGGTTGGCTCTGCAAGGAAAAGAGGTGTAAAAACTAACTGTAGTCAGAAAAGGGGGAAATTCACCCCTGTGCAGAACGCCAACACCAGCCTAATGCACCCTCGAGTCCTACTTACATCCTCCTAACAGGAAGAATCTCACCCTAAGTGAACAGATCTGATTCTGCATATGCACAGAGAGCAGATCGGGTGGCTAAGAAAGTGCCATTTCTATACAGTCACTCTTCAGAGCAGAGCCACGCCTTTTAAGTTCCAGGTGTCCCTGCCCAAGGGTCTCCGGGAGCCTAAACAAACAACACCCATGATTTAGAGTGAATAGGCAACGTGCCTGGATAAACCTCACCCGGAGCACGATGTTGAGATGGAGGGAAAGGGGGAAACAAAACCTCTGAATTATAGAACCACAAAACAACTGGCACCAACTGCAAAAGAAACAAAGTCGTGTGCCTGGCTGCCAGGGATGCCACTGCTGACCTAATGTGGTGTGTGTGGTGGGAAAGAGGATTATACCGTCACAGGCTGCATAGGAGAAGACACTGCCCCACTCTCTTAGGACTAAAACGGGGCATTCAGTCCTTTGGACTGAGTTGCAATCGATTGCCATGATGGGAAGAGGGCCGGTATTTATGGCTTTAAATGCTAAGGACCCTGATCCTCAGCCCACTGACCTCACGGTCATCCCAGAGTAGCTCCACCGCCATCAGCGGGGTTCCAAGAATGGGAAAACCCACGTCCGGGAGATCTGACTTGAGTCCTATTCATGGTGGTTATAATTTATTTGCATTGCAGCGCTGCCTCGAGGCCCCAGTCATGGATCAGGGCTCCATTGTGGTGGGCACTGTACAAACATATAACAAAGAGACGGTCCCTGCCTTGAATTGTGTGCAACCCACAGCGTGTATCACCACGTAAAAGGCCGCCAGTGCAACTAGCCCTAGACACCACCAGTCTCAACAAGACTCCCATTTCCCAAGGGGCTGTGGGGTGTTTTGCTCTCAGTCTCAGAGCTAGTTCCAAGATCAACAATCCAGATGAGAGAGTGGTATTAATCAGGTAACCTGCCAGCATTCTTGGAAATCCCAGATTAATACCCCGTGGGCTTCTGACTATTTATTTGAAAGCTTACTTTCTACCCACCCCCAATCGTGCTTTCCTGGACCAGTTAAATGGGTCCTCCTCTTATGATGTGTGCAGCAGGTCTCCCAAGAGCACGGAAATCCTATTCAGTTATTCAGAGTGGCTTATGTGAGATAGTTCAAACCCTTCAGATAAGGTAACGTGGTGGATCTGAATAATCGCTAGTGTTTCCTAATAAACCAATCCCTTTTTCCACACAAACTCAGGAATTTCCCTCCATCTGCTGCCCTACGTTCTCATCTGTCTACCTGCCAGTAAGAGGCTGATTCATCTTAGTGTGCCTCCAGACAACCCACCCAGCCTGCTGGTGAACTGAGAATCATATAACTTAGCAATTACACAGCATCTTCAATCTTCAAAGCACTTTACAAACATTAGTTTATTAATCCATGCAACACCTCTCTGAGGTAGGTAAGCGTTATCTCCATCTTGCAAATGGTTAAGAGACTCACCCAGGGCCACACTGCAAGTCCGTGCCAGAGAAGGGACTAAAGCCAGAATTCTAAATAGACTGATTGTTCCCCCTTACAGTAGTTGTAGGAGCCCATGTGGGACCCACGGCATGGAGGACCTGTATGGCACCATCCCTCCCCACAAGTGGACCTGCAGAGAACCCGCATGTGAGATGCACAGAGCATGGGTTTGGAAGGGCTGGTCCAGAGCAGGAAGGGAGAACTGGGGTGTAGGTTGGGATGAGGGTGAGTTGCATTGTCCACTCAGATACCAGGGCAAATGCTGACAGGAATTTAATGAAGCCCTAGCTACAAATCTAAGGGAGCTCTACTCTCAAGAAGGCAGGAGCAGAGGACCCTAGATCTGGCATGGGGGGACTCTGTGTGCTGGTGGCTTTGGTGTCATATGGAGTTTAGAGACAGAACCCTGGCCCATTTCACAGAGGAGCAACCCCACCTGATCTCTCTAAAGGGAACAATTTGGGGAATGCTCTGTGAGGGATCCCCCAGTGTCCCCTCCTACAGATATTTCCACAAGAGGGGGAATCTGCACCAAAATCATTGGCCAGGATAAACTAGGAAGCTGCATAGTTCTGGGGATAGAATAGAGACTGCTGGCAGGCCTGATAAGACCTATAGCCCTGTAGAAAGGCTCGTGTATCTGTTTGACAAGCCTAGTCCAGTGGTTCTCAACCTTTTGCCATTGTGGGCCACTGAAGACAGGACAAGAAGCAATGGGCTTAAATTGCAGCAAGGGAGGTTTAGGTTGGCCACGAGGAACAACTTCCTCACTGTCAGGGTGGTTAAGCGCTGGAACAAATTGCCTAGGGAGGTTGTGGAATCTCCGTCATTGCGGATTTTTAAGAGCAGGTTAGACAAACACCTATCAGGGATGATCTAAATAATACTTAATCCTGCCTTGAGTGCAGAGGACTGGACTAGAAGACCTCTCAAGGTCCCTTCCAGTCCTATGATTCTGATTGACGAATCTCTCTTCATAAACTTCATAAAGGGGTTTGCTCTTTTATTTTCAAGTCATGGAGGGGATTAACTTTACTAGCCACTGACCTTGCACTGTACAGCATGAAGAAAAAACAGATCCTTGTTCCCAGCCACTGTGCACTCCTGAGAATTGCTACAAGATGAAGCCCAAGGAAGAGATTAAACTTTGCAACCTTAGTTTGTCGGTGTTGCACCAACTAGTATGTGACGGCATATTCCTCCTTGCTTTTTCTCCGCTTGCCTGTGACCAGGGACAGAGAGACCCAGCCCTCTGTGATGTTCCTCACAGAATGCAGCAATATTGTTTGATCCCTTAGCTACCCTGAGCTACTGTATTTACAGTAAGTTTTTTACAATTTCCCCCGCTAGAAGACAGATAAGGCAATCTTTGGGCTTTAAATATACTGGTCATCAAAGGGATGCAGCTGCCACATCTGGGTGCCAAAATTAGGACCCCTAGGGCAGGTAATGCTTCCTCTGCTTACTAGTCACCCAGTGCTTCACTACTCCTAGGTGTAATGTTTATCCTGGAGGACTGAGCAAAGTCAGGCAACATGGCCTTGTGAGCACTTTACAGAAAGGAGGTGGCAGTCAAAAGAAGGGTATCTCACAAGCCCAAGGGCTCAGCAAAGGGATCCCGTCCAAGAGAACGAATCAGAGCAACGTCCCGCACAGGAAAGCGAAGTCCTAGCACCTCCATGTAAACCATGCAGGGTCAACAGCAGCTAAGCACTGGTTTGAGTCACCGGCACACACTTCCAGTGCCAGACATCAGTTTACGAGTTGTAAAAACATATCAGTCACCTCTTACGGTGCCCTTCACTTGTCCTCTATTCTAATACGCCTGAGGACAGGGCTCCTGCTTCCTCTCGGGCATATACCATTAGCTTTACTTCTTAACATACACACCAGGAGATCGCTGGCTAGATCGTTGGGCTCAACGGGTAGTGATCAATGGCTCCATGTCTAGCTGGCAGCTGGTATCAAGCGGAGTGCCCTAAGGATTGGTCCTGGGGGGCGGTTCTGTTCAATATCTTCACAATCTGGACGAGAAGCTGGATATGAGTCAACAGTGTGCCCTTTTTGCCAAGAAGGCTAATGGCATTTTGGGCTGTATAAGTAGGAGCATTGCCAGCAGATCGAGGGACGTGATCATTCCCCTCTATTCGGCATTGGTGAGGCCTCATCTGGAGTACTGTGTCCAGTTTTGGGCCCCACACGACAAGAAGGATGTGGAAAAATTGGAAAACATCCAGCCGAGGGTAACAAAAATGATTAGGGGGCTGGAGCACATGACTTATGAGGAGAGGCTGAGGGAACTGGGATTATTTAGTCTGCAGAAGAGAAAAATGAGGGGGGATTTGATAGCTGCTTTCAACTACCTGAAAGGGGGTTCCAAAGAGGATGGATCTAGACTGTTCTCAGTGGTAGCAGATGACAGAACAAGGAGCAATGGTTTCAAGTTGCAGTAGGGGAGTTTTAGGTTGGATATTAGAAAAAACTTTTTCACTAGGAGGGTGGTGAAGCACTGGAATGGGTTACCTAGGGAGGTGGTGGAATCTCCTTCCTTAGAGGTTTTTAAGGTCAGGCTTGACAAAGTCCTGGCTGGGTTGATTTAGTTGGGGATTGGTCCTGCTTTTGAGCAGGGGGTTGGACTAGATGAACTCCTGAGGTCCCTTCCAACCCTGATATTCTATGATTCACGACACCATGGAAAGCAGAGAGATACAGGCATCATCTCCTCTTTGAAATCTGTGTTAATTAAGACCACAGAAAATACAGGATTGTAAAACAGAATAACCTGTGGTTTAATACGTTGCATTTTGGTCCTAAACCATTGCATATATTTCCAGGCCATTTTTATCCTAATATGTGCTGATCTCATTCATCTGGGGAAAAGCACAGGGTGTTCTCATCCATGCTCATACCTGACAAGCTGCATACAATGTGACAGTCGGAGAGAACTTCTGAGGGAGCTCTGCAGTGGCTGCTGTCTGGGTTTTGTGGTTTATTTCACAGGAAAGAGACTGGCTTTTCCCCCTGGAATTCTTGAGAGAGATGAAAGGTAAGTCAGCAAATCAGCTTCATGTGTTGTAAACATTCTCGACTTTCAGCCATGGGCAGAGCAGAACTAGCTCAGTTCTGAGTCTGCTTTTAGCTGAGATGGAAACATCTGCATGGGCCCCCTTTTTTTTCTTTCCCAGAAAAAAAAATGTGTAAGGAGAAAGCAGGCAAATGCTTTTAACACACCGTAGCAAGTCAGGTTACAGGAAATCCAGCTATTCTGCCTGGCTGGCACTGTTCGGTAAATCAACAGAGAACATTCTTGATTATATTTTTATAACACCTACAGAAAACGCTGGCTAGCAACAGTGAAATGAATTAGATGAGGGAGCATGTGATTTGTCTGCATAAAACATAGCAATGAGAGATGCATCATCTGCTTACATATATTCCGGAGATCCTACACACACACACACACAGCGGGAAAGACTGTTTACACTGATGTGTAGGTTTGTTTGCCTTTTGCCCCCCCAATTTACTTACTAAATAAAAGGCAGCTTTGATATGTCAGCTGGCAAGCCAGGCTCTGAAGACCCTCTGCCACACATGATGTATGTCAATTTCAGCAAGGTGGAAAAATTCTCTGATCCTCTTGCAAGAGGTTAAAACCCCATCATAGTTAAGCCATTCTAAGGGATGCATTCTGCTGCCAGAGTGAGTGCTCTGCTCCTTTTAATGCTAGTGGAAGTTGCATGTATGCCTCAAGGGGAGAAAGCACCCCAGCTGATGATATTCCCTCTGATGATAACTGATGGTAACTGATGATAAACACCCCTTGTCTGCCAGGACTATCCTGTATTGCTTGCATGGGCTGGAATGTAAATAAGGCATTTTGTCGCTCTCCTGTATACAGTGGATGCTATTAAAATCTGCACATCTCCCATCCTCCGGGGCTAAAGATGTTACAGCATTTCCCAGGCTAAGTATCATGAATATTGCAGATTTTGGTACAGCAGAAGCTGTCCAGTTTTTTAAATGTCTGTTGTTTTGAATGGAAACAACAATTGGGTGGATGCAGTTGTATCTCATTTTGGTCAGGTTGAATTAGGGTTAGGATATTTGCTGTGATTAGCTAAGTCTTGGAGGGAGAGGAGATGCAAAATACTAGATGATGCTGAATGGTGCCCTTAAATTATATAATTCTCCCAAAGCAGGGGAGCATATATCTGCATGACTTACTTTGTAAAATACTTAGGAGGATGGAGACCTCTTTTTAAAGGGCTAGTCTTGTTTTTTTAAACAAAGACTTACATAAACCCTTCTATGTAAAGCCTAGATACTACAGTGATGGGTGCTTCTGAAATATTTAGGGACAGGATGGAACAGCATGCATAGATGGAAGATCTCATCCATGCAAGTCTGCTTCCTCTTGGAGAAAATGTGTATTCATTGGAATTTTCTTGCTCTACGCATGTGCATGTGTGGATGGGGGGGGGGGGGCAAAATGTGGACAGAAGGTTTAATTGCTGTTGGTCCTGCTTTGAGCAGGGGGTTAGACTAGATGACCTCCAGAGGTCCCTTCCAACCCTGATATTCTATGATTCTATGAAGATATTGAGTCTCAGTCTGTAGCCAGTCTATCAAAGCATTATTCATTATGTCTTCAGTAAAGATATCCAGATAACGTAGAGGGCCGTATTTTGAAAACACAGCTCCGTCTGGTTTTAATTCGGATTTCTGATTTTTTCTAGCACCATCAGTGTTTTACGCCCTTCATAAAAGTGACTGGTCTGTGTCCAAAGAGCTTACAGTCAAAGGGCCCAATACCCTTACACAGTTGTGCAGAGAAGCCTAACCCAATGGACATGACAAGTGAGGTTATTACTTCTAACAGGAAGGGGAAGCCAAGGGCGTGCTCCAGTTAGGGATACATGAGCATATTGTCTCAGTTCGTATGTTTTTATGTCTTGGTGGTCCAGGTTCTCTTTGCTTGCATGCAAACATCCCCTGTTTTGGTAAGTGAGGCTGCAGGGGAAAGTTTTCAGGTTTGGCCTGAATGAGGTGAAGGAGAGGCCTTGCCAAATAGATTGTGTATGGTTATCCCACGCCCAAGGTGTGGCATGGAAGAAGATATAGAGATGCCTGTGAGAACAGGAGACAAAGGGAATATTGAGACTGGTGTCCGAGATAGTGCTGGAAGGGAGGAAGGATGTGAAAGGAGGGCAAGTCAGAGAAGAAGGCAGGTGCTGGATGATATAGGGCCATTGTAGCGGGGTGGTCACCCGCTCCAGCCCTGAAAAGGTTAAAGCCAGCCCTGGGAGAGGGCTGGGGCTGGGAGCAAAGGCTAAGCTGACTGGGGGAAGCAGCCACAGCTGGGTCAGGCCACACCTAGCCCTGTTATAAGGGCTCAGGGAGGAGCTGGATCAGGACTCTTCCTCTAGTTTCAGTGGGAGAAGGACCTAGCTGCCTGGGAGCTGAGGGTGCAGGCAACAGAGCAGGGCTGGGGAAAGAAGAGAGGAGCAGGGGAGCTCCCACCTGGCAAGTCCCCAGGCTGCAGGCCTTGTTGAAGGTCAAACCAGCTACTGGGATTGCAGAGGCTGCAGCCCAGGGGTTAGGCAAAGGCAGCAGATCCAAACCCCCCTTTGCCAATGATGAATGGCTTGTACACTGCAGTCTGCCCCAGTGAGTGGGGGCTAGATGGTGACTGACAGTAGCCACAGACTGAGGTGAGGTGGGGATAGAGGGCTGGGGGTTCCCCGGGGAGGGGAGACCCAGAGCTGTGGGGTTACTGCAGGGGGCAGAACCCTGCTGTAGAGGGGCACTGGGGCCTGGGAGGGACACGGGGGCCAGTGGCAGGCGAGACACCGGCCTGCAGAGGGCGCTCCGGGGCAGCAGAGCTCATTCCCAGGATGACTGACAGGAGGTGCCGCACTGGTGAGTCATCAGCTCGCTACAGCCATGTAGGTAAGGACAAGACATTTGAAGCTGATGCACAGGGCAATGGGAAGCCAGGCAAGTGGCTTGGAATAAGGTGACCTGGTGGAGGGACCAGACAGGAAAATGATTTTGGGAACGGCATTTTTGGGTGGCTTGGAGAAGGGAAAGGCAGGTTATGATCAGCGAGACTCCAGAGAAGATGATTAGGGAGTACAGGAGCAACTTGACCATCTGGACTGGAAAGGAAGAGGCAGATTTTTGTTTTACTGTTGTGGACAAAGGAATAAGAGGATTTGGCCATGTCTGGGATGTGTGGGGATGAGGGGGACACGATGCATGCTGACACTCCTATGCATGTGCCTATTGGGTAATTGTTCCCCATGTTATCTCGTCAATTTGTGCTTGGAAATGCTAAGTAAATACTTGCAGACCAGTGCATGTCCTAGTGTAGTATATATTCACAAATCGTGATCCTCGCATAGTTCTTATTTGTCTATTTAAAACCCAAGAACTGCCTTTTCTGTCATGTCTATCTTCTAGGAGGGAAAACTTGTAACAAACTTACTGTAAATACAGTAGCACAAGAAACTTAAAGCAAGTTTTCCATTGTTGGATCTCCTGAGGAATTTTAATCTCCTCCAAATTCCCGGTGACTGATTAGTCAACTATTGTGAAAAGCACAGGAGTACTTGTGGCACCTTAGAGACTAACAAATTGTATCCTAACATTACTCTAGCATTCTAACTGCATCTCCAGTGAAACAGTAACACTATTCCTCCATATTCTTACTTAGATTCCTTTTCATTTGATTTTTCTTGCTAAATTTATGGGCTGGATTATTTTTCATTACTGTGCTGGACAAAGGACCCTGTGTACTGAGTTTACACTTTAATATAGTTATTAAACCTAACACCGCAAAACCTAGGAGAATGAACACTATAGGCTTTTCATAGTAGTGATTCTGATATTTCTAATCTTTAAGATTATAGGAATACAATGTAGGGCAAGGCTGTTATTGTCAAAAACTTTTGAGCTTTGATGGGAGGAGAACAAGAACTTCACATGCCAGAAGACAATTACAGACAACAAGCTTGCTATTAACTTGTTCTGGATTTTTTTGTTTTATTTTGTTGAAAGGGGGCGTTAGCTTTTACCTTGGGGCTTCGTTTGAAATGGATGGAGGCACTTTAAAAAAATTCAGGGCTTGAAAATAATACATGGGGCATGTGGAATCATCAAACTTTGTGGTGGTTTGGAAAGCCCTGGATGCAGTGGGAGGCTGCTAGATAACAATCTTACATTCCTACATTTCCTTTCATCAAGGAGGTTCCTGGAGCACTTAACGGATTCACAGATTAGATTCACAGGAATCATTTCACGCACCACTAAAATGTAGCCACTTCCGGGGGTGGGAGGAAGGAACCAATGTGCAGCATGCTGCATGGCACTGAGGCTGGTGGGACACGTTAGCCCTGAACACTGGGAAAACCTCCCCACCACCACTATTCATGCAGCCTCAGCTGAGGCCTAGACCAGGGTCCCATTGTCCTCTGCAGACACATAGCAGGAGACAGTCCCTGCCCTGGAGAGTTTGCAATCTAATGAGATAAGACAGTCAAAGGGTCGGGGGGGAAGGATCATTGTCCCCATGAAAAACTGAGCCATGAAGGTTCAGGCTAAGATCCCCAAAAGTATTTAGCCACCTAACTCCTGAGAGTTAGGACCCTTAATACCTTTGAGAACATGGGACTCATCAGTGACCTGCCTAAGGTCACACTGCAAATCTGCAGCAAAGCTGAGAACAGAGCCCAGGTCTCCTGACTCCCACCCCAGCACCTTTGTCTCAAGACCATCCTTTCTCCACACCACTCACAAGCAGTGTGCATGATACTCCATTTAACTTCTTCATAAGAGTTGCTACCAGAATTTGAAACTCTGGTTTTCTGAGTGTCCAGGCATTCAAAATATGGCACTTAGACCACAGGCCACCAAGATGATATGAATTACCTGGTTGCCAGTAGGACACTCTCCATGTACAACTCAAATGGAGGGGATGGTGCAATGCTGGACTGAGGTAGGGTGAGCACTCCACTCCAAAAGGGGACAGAGACTGACTATAAAGGAAGAATCTCATAAGCTCTAGGACACTGCGGTAGCTGGGGCATGTATTGCATATGAAACAAACAAGTTCCCACTGGTTGTACATATACATCAAAGCAGCCATGTACGCAACAGCTAAAATATGAAAACAGTGACCTGAATTCCAGCCAGAGACTGTTATGAGAATGAACTGTTCTTGAGCAATTTCTCCAGTACTTCCCACACAAACAGGCTTCCCTTGAACACCACACCAGGAATGCTTGCCATCTTATGCCAGATGTTTGAGTTATTTGTTTTATTCAATTTGATTTTATATTTAAGGGGGAGGTGGGAGGGCTTTAATCTATGGTGTGGCTTCCTCATCACAGTCTAATGCAACTCCTGCTTGGCTATGACTCTGTGACTCATTTCCTAAAGCATGGGCTGTTCTGGGCCCGAAATCCAGAGCCCGAGCAGTGTGGGATCCATGGCCTGATTCTGACCATGTTTAACATGAGTGATTCAAATGAAGTCCACAGAGCTCCCACTAGTCAAAGGGAAATCACAGTCCAGCCCCAGATCTTGAATCTTGCAGGCACGACTTGTTCTTCCTTTTTCATCGCTCTCCTTTCTGCAAGGGCCACTCCAACCAGGCAGGGCATTACGCTGGCCCTTTGGCAG